CTCTTGTGTGGAGAACAGCAGTGAGGGAGGCATCTGACGGCTCCTTACTTCCAGGAGACAGGTCCCAGTTTCATCGCACTGTGCTCACTGCAGGTTTGTAGGTTCTATTTGCCAGGCTAAGGAAACTTGCTTCTGTTCTAAGTGTGCTTAGAGTTTTCCTCTAAGTAAATGTTTTTTTCACGAGTGGATTTATAATTTTCCCAAAGGTACTTTCTGCTTCTGTTGATCCATCACTGAGCTTTCTCCTTGAATCTGCTTTAATCTCTCCTTTAAAGCAGCTCTTCTAATATTAAGCCAGCTCTTCAGTCTGGTACCTTTTGCACTTGCACTTTACATGATTTATCTGGTCCTTATGTTTAGGATGCTTCAGTTGTGGTGGCGACTGGGCTGGTTTCTGAGCCGGTTGGCAAGGCTGGGGTCAGGGGCAGAGGGACATGGTTGGTCACCGGCCCTGGGCTTTTGTGGGGCCTCAGTGAGGAGCTGGGGTTAGAGGTCCTCACTGACCATGGGTGGGGGTGTGGAACACTGTGCAGAGGGATCACAGGGGGCTTCTGGGGAAGGGATCCCAGCCAGGGAATGCCAGGTGTATGGGGTCTTGCCTTCAGAAAGGAGGGGGATGTCAAGATTTCTGGGAGAAGGGGGCATGGCCCAGAGAGCAGGGCTTGAACAAGGGATGTAGTGAGATTGGCAGGTCTTCACAAGGGACAGGAGGAAGGAGCAGGGAGTGATCAAAGTGGTTGGGGAAGGTGCTTCCACAGAACTCAGTGAAACCAGATAGTCCCTGTTGCAGAGGGTCCCTTGTGTCCCCACGGGTGGAGGGGGTGCCGAGCCTGGAGTGCAGGAACAAGGCAGGTCCAAGATCCTCGGGACCTCAATCCTGCCTCAGGCTCACTCACGTGCTGCCAAGCCACAGACCAGCAGGGCTGGGGAGGACATGGAATGTGACTGCAATCGCAGGTCCAAGGCCATAGCCTGGTGATCCCAGGGCCTGGGTACACTGTGACCAAGGTGGCAACATTGGAGCTATTGCTTAGCCTGAGACCCTCTGCCCCGAATGCCCCTCACCTACATCCTGGCCTGTGGCCTCGGGTTAGGAAGGCTCCAGACTCACCTGAGGCCTCAGGGCCACCACAGGCCAACCACAGAACCCCTGCTCACAATTTATTCTGAAAAAATGCAGCTGTATTACTGCAATCAAATAAGGCAGGACACCTGTCATGCTGGTCTGCTCGTAAGGGGCCTAGGCAGAACCAGGCACAGCGGGCACTTGGCCGGCCCACTGGCTAGGAGTGTCATAGCGCCAGGCTCTTCCCTTCCTGAAGAGCTAGTGTGTGAACACTTTGGGTTTAAAAATAAACTTCGGAGATGGGTGGTGAATGCCTGTGTGCATGGGCTTAAATATCCTAAAGTCACATTAAAACTTAACTTTCATCTCTTGTGTACTGTCAGCAGAAGCCTAGATGTGGACTGAATGGAATAGAGGTGATGTTTTTTGCTTTCGTGTCTTAATTTTGAAGTTCAGATGCTCATGGCAGATGAGGGAGATTGCAGTTCTCTCAGACTGGCTACTCACAGCATTGTCACCTTTGAGTTGGCCACGGGGTCATGGGGGTCTCACAGTGCTAGGGACTAACTGTTTGCCCCCCAATCATTATGTTGGAGCTGCCGGAGCACCCACTGTGGCTGAATTTGGCAATAGGGAGGTAATTAAGGGTAAGTAAGGGTCATAAGGTTGGGGCCTTAATCCAATAGGGTCTATGCCTTTCAAGAAGTAGAAGAGACATTTCCCTCCCTCTCTCTCTTCTCATGTCTGCACTCCAGGAAAGGCCACACAGGAACACTGTGGTTGTCACCAAGGCAGGAAGAGACTCTAAGATAGTATGTGTACAAGCAGATCCACAGGTAATCCTCACGCAGGGAAGGGTGGAGGAGGGACGCTCTGCCATTCTGCTCAGGCCTGCCTAACAGCGGTGCTGAGAGGGTAGTTATCAGATCATCACACACCTGCCTACCCCTGAGGACACCTCCCAACACACATGCACACCCAGGCCTCTGGCTACTCTTGGCCAGATGGCCATTTTGATTGTGCACAGTACAACTCTAAGGGCGCCATTCATAATGGTAGCCCTGGAGCGGTGGGATGCTGCAGCACTGCTTAAAACCACAGCCCACCTACCATGTGGCCCCAGTCCTTATTGGGGGGGCACTGTGGAGAAGTGGGTCAGTGGGTGGGTGATATATCAGGAGGAATGGAGCAGTACACACTCCCCACCCTCCTAAACTGACTTGTGCTTGTAAGGGAGGCTGATATTCTCACCACTGTTCCATGCCCTGGAGCCCTCCAGCAACCTGAAGTGCAAAAGCATTCATCCTATACTTGCCTATAGATCCTGCAAACAGCCTGCTTCTCCCCTGAGCTTGTACCACACTCCCACCATGCCGTTGCAGGGCCCTGCTTCCTTTCAACTCTTTCTTGTCCTCGGACAGCCTAAGGCCACCTCTGCAGCACACTGTCCGATGGCCAACAACAGGCCTCAGCTTTCACTTTGAACCCTCAAGTCTGCACACTAACACTCGGCTCCTCTGCCCTTTGAACTGCCTCCTGGGTCTCAGCAGCAGCCGCTCCCAGAAGAAATGCCCTGAGCTCTTAAGACAGGCTCTGGTAAAAACCCCCAAGGGTGGCATGACCGGAGGGTCACTGGGCATCATAGTACATGCTGTTCTGGTGGGCATTTGGCCTTTCCGTGGAATGCAAGGGCACCATCTTCAAAGAGGATGGTTTTGTAAAGGCTTTATTTACCCATGAACCATGAGAAAGGGACGAGGAGGGTGTCTGGGCTGCAGGTAATCTGATCATATCCAACTGGCTCTCCCTCTGGGACAGGAGGCCAAGAATAGAGCAGGGGACAGAAGCAGGTACAGCAGCATGAATAGGCTTGAGCTGGGAGCAACCACCACCCACCATGGCACACCGAGCATGACAATCCTGGCAGCTCCCAGTCACATACTCCCACAGACCCTTAGTCCAGCCTCTACCCCATGCTCACTACAACCCCTGAGGCTGGCCTTTCTCCCCCCGTCTTCCCCCCAAGAATCCCTGGGCTACCACAGAGGCCCTTACAGCTGGCAAGTCCCCCCAGAACCCCCAGCGAAGACTGATGCTCTCCGCAGCATCCTCCACGTGGTCGTCCGTTTAGCACCCGGCCACCTAGACAGGTGAGCATGATTTGAATTGATTCTTTCTCCCCTACATGGCTGATGGCCACCTCTCCTAAGAAACGAGGGAGAAAATCCAAGGAGTAAAGTCATCCAGCTTGCCAGCCCACCTCCTGAGACTCCAACACATTCTCAGGTATTAGAAGAGATGTGTCCACCTGCATCCATCTAACCAGCGTCTCCTGAGCACTCCTCTGTGCCAGGCACCGTTTCAGGCACTGGGGATGCAGCCATGAGTCTGGCGGGCTTTGTGCAGCCCCTCACTCAGGGAACAGATGTTTCCATGGGGAGGGCAGACAGGCAACAGGCAAACAGAGCAGACAGCACGGCAAAGCCTGGGAGGCATGGAGGAATACGAGGAGGGGATCCGGGAGGTCAGAGGATGCAACGAAGAGGTGACATTGGAGCAAAGGCCTCGTGGAGCCCAGGAAGCCTGGGAGTAGAGGTCCCCAGAGAGCGGGTGCATCTGGCAGAGGGAGGCTCAGAGGAGGTCAGGGAGAGGCCTGCGCCTGGAGAGTTCCTCTGCGTTGGAGGGGCCCATAGGAGGGCCAGACCAGGCAGGTGAATGGGGACCTTTGCAGCAGTAGGTGGCGGCCAGAGGTGAGGAGCAGTAGCTGGTTTGTATTTGCATGTAGAACAGAAAACCTGTCCTGGAAACAGCAGGAGCTGAAGAAGTCAGGTATGCCTCCTAGGTTTGGGGCTGAACAGAAGACAGGGCTGCCCCTGCTGAGGCTGCAGGGTGGGCTTAGGGAGGAAATGTGAGGTGCGCTTGCATCGTGGAGACCGAGATGTCCAGGTGAGCCATCTGCAGGTGCAGTGCAGGCTGAAGGGACCTGAGGGCAGAGTCCCCACTGGTGCAAAAACTATGTCAATTTGAAGCCCACCCTGAAGTAAAAGGGGCATTTCAGGCGCAATATTGTAAGTCTGAGCAGGGCCCTTGGGTCCTGAGGTGAGGGAAAGGGGAGAGAGGCAGAGGTCCCTCACAAAAGGTAGGAGGCCATGGTTGGAGAAGCGCAGAGACTTGGATTCTGCATCACCCTGGTTTCTGACAAGTTGTTGGATTCTGTGACGAAATGCTGGGGAAGACAGTAGGAGGCTGGCAGCCTGGCCCCCTTTCTGGGTCCTTGTGCCTCTGGGGGAGGAGGGGAAGGGATGGTGGTGGTGGTGGTGGTGTCTGCATAGCCCCAGATGCTGCTTTTATGGAGAAGGAGGAGCTTGAGGCCAGTGTTCCCATGGGCGGCCCCTGGCAACTCCGAAGCTGAGCGAGTGCCACCACGGGGCGCTTGATGCACCCAGCGCCCACCCACCACCTGACAGCCAAGCCCTGAAGGACCCCCAGCCCTCGGCGCTGCAGCTCCGTCCCCAAGGAGGAAGGTCCTCCCTCCATCGCTCTGCGACCGCACAGACCTCCTGGCCTGCGCCCTGCAGCCCAGGGCTCCAGGAGAGGGCGGGCGTGGGTTGAGGACGCGGGAAGGTGAGGCCAAGGGGCCGGTCGGGCCCGGGGTGGGCGTGCCGAGAACGCGCGGCGGTGTCTGCGATCCGTGAGCGCAGCGGGGGCGGGCAGGCCCCGCCCCGGGGCGGGAGGGGGCCGCCGGATTAAAGGCCACCGGGCCGGGCGGGACCGGACCGCAGCCCGCACCTCGAGCGCTCTCGGCTCCGCGCTGCCCAACGCGCGTCCGTCCAACCGGCCAGCGCGCCCGGCGGCCCCCGCGCAGCGCGTCCCGCAGACGCAGCCGGACCTACACGCCATGAGCGCCCGGACCGGACCCTGAGCGGCGGGGACCATGTCGCGGCGCGGGGCTCTGGGGCCCGGCTGGGGGCTTCTGCTGCCGCTGCTGCTGGCGCTGGGCGAGCTGCCGCAGGTGGCGGGCGTCGAGGAGGAGCCTGGCGGCGGCGGGCACCAAGACAGCGAGGGCTTCCAGGTGGTCACCTTCAAATGGGACCACGTCCAGGACCCGTACATCATCGCGCTCTGGATCCTCGTGGCCAGCGTGGCCAAGATCGGTAAGCAGCCTCGGACTCGGAGGGAGGGCTCCGGGGTTCTGGCCCCGCAGCACTTTCCCTCGACCGACCCCACCTGCCTGCGCTCCCGCGGGCAGAACGAGGCGCCCACCTTCCTCCCTTCCTCCCTTCCTCCCTTCCTCCGGGTGGGTGCCGGCTCCGCGGTCTTCCCCGTGGAAGGGGCGCGTTCGGTGTCAGTTGCCGCGCGGTCCTTTCCGAGAGCTCCGCTCCCAGCCCCGGGGAACCAGCCCTTGCGTCGGCAGGGCAAGGCTCCGGGGCCGCGAGCCTGGCCGGGCTCGGAGCGGCCGTGCCGGTCCCCAGAGTCCCCCGATCTTGCCGGGCAGGTGCGGGGGAGTGGGGGGGAGGGGAGAGGGGGGGAGCCCGCGCTCTCTGGGCTCCAGGCTGCCCATCCAGGCCCGCGGTGCAGCGCGTCTCTCCGCGCTGGCGCTCCTGCGCTGCGTTTTCTGTCTGTGGGGCGGGCGGGCTCGTGGGGGGGGGGGGGACTTTTGAACGCCCTGAAAAGGGGGATGCCCTTGTTGTCAAGCATCAAAGTGATAATTTGTTCCCAGGGCAGAAGGGGAACGGTGCCGCTCACAATGAAAGCCAGTAAAATCCTGCTTACAGGAGCGGTTTTCCCACGGAGTGTTTCTCTGTTTAAAAATCCCTTCCTGTCAGATTTCTTTTCTTCTAACTTGCTCCAATGAGCCAGCAAAGTGGGATTGCCATAACTCCGCAGCAAGGTGAAGGGAAGGTCATCTTTCCTAAGGGCGTAGGAGGACTGAAGTCTCTAAGTGTGCCGGTCAACACCAGGGAGGGTCTTAGTTGAGGTGTTGGAGGTGTGATAGCATTTGTAACTAACTAGGGGGAGCCTGAGGGAGGGCCCCCTGAGCGGGAGGTCTGAAGACACCTCCCCACCCCACCCCCATCCTTGCCCCCCAAGGAGCTGTAGCTGGCAGGAACAGGTCACCAACGGTTTGGGAATGGGGAAGGGCAGGCAAGAAGAAGAGGAGTCTTTCTGGGGCCTTGGAGGGCACTGACGAGCTCAGCATGCTGGGAAAGACAGGTTTGGGGCAAGACCTTAGAGGGCTTTGGACCTGGAGTTCAGGGGTGCCTGGCAGAAGCTGGGTGCAGCTTGTTTTTCCTTCATTTCCTGCTTATGCCCATGGCCTCCCTTGAAAGTCCCTCTCTTTTCTGCTTTGCCTTTCTTAGGAGCTCCCTCTGTCTCCTCCCTCCTTTGTCCTGGCATCTCTGTAGCCCCTTGGCCCCATCTGCCTGGTCACCTTGATTACTTGGTCACCTTGATTACTTGGAAAGCCCTGTGGTCTCGTAAGCTGTGTTTCTGCCAGATGCCTCTGCCAGAGGGAGACCATTGACACTAGCCATGTCCAATGTGACACTTACTGGGCAAGTCCAACCTCAATGTCTGGGCATACCCTGCTCGGACACTCACACTGCTCACCTAAGAACGGACCTGTTTCTGGGGCACAGTTGTAGTGGGACGGGGAGTGGGGGTGGGCGCGGGTGCGGGGGAGGGGTGTCTCTTCCTCTGCCACATTCTTTACTCCATGAAACCACCATAAGGATGATGACATGTGCAGGGTGGGCCCAAGACACTCTGAGAGGTGCGGCACCTCTGTTGTGTAATCAAGCATGCATTTTCTGTCTGGCCCCGGTGGCGGCACAGGTGTGGAGCCTGGCATATGAAAGTCCAGGGCCAGCCATCAGGGCACCAGCTGTTCCACCTGGAGTGGGTGTGGGGACCCTGGGAGGGCGGCACTGACCCAAGTATTTGCCTGGCCCAGATTTTGTTACTCACCCAAGAGCCATGGCTTGCAGGTCTCCCAGCACTCGGACTGCCTAAAGAGGGCCTTCTCCGGGTGGGGCTGCCCGCTCCAGCAGCTCCAGCGCCGTCTCATGGGCAGGGCATAATGTGTTTCCCTTCTGGCACTCACCACTTAAAAAAGTCTCACCTCAACAGCACCACACCCTGCAGGCTGTAATCCTGGGAGGCTGGAGGTAGGGATTCTCAGGACAACACATAGAGGATCCCAGGGAGAAGACCCTTGGGGTGCCCTCTGACCCTGGTTCAGGCCTTGCCCTGTCCCTGCCTAGATATTCTTCTGAATTTGGAGGCTCCCACTATGAGGGCATCGGGGCCTGGCCTGTGACTAGGCATCACTACACACATTCAGTTTCCCCATCTTTAAAAGGAAGCTGGGACTGCACCCATGCCCAGCCTTGCTCCCTCCCTGTTCTTCCTTATGGCCTCTCCCCATTAATCCTATATCCTCTCCCCATTAATCCTATCCCCTGGAATCCTCTGCCCTAACCCTGCCCAGGTCCCCAAGGCCGTCTTCATGGCCCCACCTCTTTTTCTGACCTCTAAAATCCCCCATCTCTTTCTTCCTTGTCCTGTCCCCATCTTCTGAGGCTGCTCCTTCTTCATCCACCTTGGGGCCCCACCCCTGGATCCGGACCTAAGTCCTCCTCCCACCCCAGGTCCATTCTCCCTTCACTGCCCCACACCCAGCACCTTCAGGTACTGTCTTCCAGGGGCCCCCATCTCCAGCCCTGCTTACCTGAAAGGAGTGTCTGCACAGACATCTCCTCACACCTCAGAGGAACCCCCACTCCCTCCACTTCTCAGCTCTCCAGGCTCAAAACCAAGACTTAGTAAACAATCTGGACCCACCGCTCACACTTAGCCACCCAAACCAGGAATCACCCCGAGCCAATGACCTCATCTCAGTGGTCCCCATTCATTCCAGACCAGACCAAGCTGAGCTCCACAGCTTCCAAGGCTTGGGTCTCACCCCCCACAATCCGCTGTGCTCTCTGCAGTGAAAATCAGAGCTCTGGCCTAGTTTCTGCTGGACTAAGCCAGGGACTTCCCACTGCCCAGCCCACCTCCCTGCCCAAGCCCTCTGCATTCAGGTGCCCACCCCTACCCCACCACTCATCCCTAAGAACTCTGGACTTACACTTGAGGCCCTGACTCAGGGACCAGACCCCCTCAGACATCTCCCTCCCTGCAAAGCCAACCCTAATGCCTGTCGCTCAAAACCCTAAGGACTAATCACGCCCACACCTTACCCTGATGGGGCCGGAGGCCTCGCGGCCGTGGGTCCAACCCGTGCACAGATGAGGGAAGTGCTTGGATCACAGTGTACTTCCTCCCGCCCCACAGTCCAGGGTTCACACTTGTTAAGCCACTTGGCCCCTTTCATCATTTAAAATGGTCAGGGATCATCCAGACTACTCAAATTACAGGAACAGAAGAGCTGGATTGATACTGATTTCCAAACACCTTGTGTTGGAGAGGTCAGATTGCTTCCAGCCATTAGTAACCTTGATGGGGAAAGAAGGAGCAGGGGACCCTGAGACACAGGCAGGAACTCCTGCATAAGATTCAAGTAGCTTCTCTGCTCAGCAGCTGGGGACAGAGACCCTGGAGAGCAAGGTCACAGCACTATCTTGGTGACCCAGGACTGGGTTCTGCCACTTTGCAAGGTGAGGAGCAGGTATGGCTCTTGTACCCACAGATGTCCAATGAGCCAGCAATGAAAGTCGGATTGCAAGCTCCCCACATGTATACATCTGGGCCTGTTACTGCAACTTTAGGAAATTCAGAGAAGAAGGAGGCCACTGAGGCCAGGGAGCCGAACACAGCTCAGGGACGGGTGGACAATGAGGGTGAGGATCCTTATGCAGTGGGTGGTGTCTGCCCTTGGTGGAGGGGAAGGGGGCTTTCTCTGGAACAGCCGGGAGCCCTGGGCATCTGCTTCTCTGGGGCGGGTCCCAAGTTTGCAGCCACCCATACCAGGGTCACTTTGGACCTTGCACCAGGCCAGGCTTTCTCTCCCTAACAGTGTTCTCAGACCTCAGGCCTCCCCTGGCTGTTGACTTCTGTCTAGACGCCCTGCCCAGTGGTGGATTTCTCTGCGGTATAGCTGTCAGGCACTGGATGTCTGCCCTAAAATATGCTCCAGGCTGTGTGGGAAGCTCTGGGTGGTGTTTAACTCCTGGGTTAATTACTCCTGCTCTGGTTTTAGATGGGGAGCTTCTGACTCCTATCCCACTCTCTCCCGTGGGCTCCTGGGCACCTTCCACCATGCTCTCCTCTCTGCACCCCCTGAATTTCCCTTGCTGGCCAGGAGGGAACGCATAAGAGGATCTGGAAGACAAGGATGGCCTAGAAGGGCAGAGTAACCACCAGGAGTCCCAGTGGAACCTATCCTCCCGAGAGTAGACAGTCAGTGGGCCCTAGTGGACCCCGGTCCTCACAGGACAGATGGAGTCCATGGGAGTGAAGACCCATTATCCAAGGCCTGGAACCAAGGACTGTCCCTGGAATCTCTGCTGGAGGGAAGGTGCCATGCTGAAGGTGTAAAGTCTCCCTTTTCAGGAACTGCCCACGGGAGAATTAGCCCCTGGCTATAAAGCAATCCACGGGCATTCGGAGCTAAGGTATTCTGTTGGAATAATCTGAGGAAGGGGGCAAAGGTCAGGCAGTGCGATAGCACCCAGTCCTGCCTGCTCCAGAAGAGACTCCCCAGGGAGCCTTTCACTTAGACCAGCTTCCCAAAACAGTCCAGAACCTAAACCAGTTCCCAGGACTCCAGGCTCTTCTCCGGAGTCTGGCCTGGGCCAGCCTTGGTGTGCATGCACAGGCTCTGTGAATGCAGGAGTTTGGCGAAACTTAGCTCTGGGCTCTCTGATCCGGCCCTTAACTAGCCTCACACTTTATTTCTTCACAGACATATTCAGCCCACCTCACTCCCAGTTCTGCCCCCCAGCTCTGGCCCAGTAGGACAGAGGCGGGACTTCCTTCCACATGCGCCAGGCCCTTCCCCGTGAGCTCCCCAAGAGCCAGGGAGTGTTTAAAGTCGGGGTTCCCATCCACACATCTTCTCCCTGTTTTCTTTCTGCTCCCTTTTGGCAGTGAGTTTTCCCAGGAGCTGGGCACCTGAAGCGGGTGGGGGAGCTCAGTGTATAATGAAGGA